ACAGTGTCCTAATGCATAAATGAGTGTAACCTTCAGTCAAGTAGGCACAAAGGGAGGCGGTGTGTTCGCTCTGCTGATCTTCTGTGCAGCTCTGTATGACGTGATTTCTGTCCTTACCCCTTTAATCTCCAGCCAGCTGAACACCACCACGAGGCCCAGGTATACCATAGCTGTTCCAGGAGGGAGACACAGACAGACAGTTAATATTTCATGTCTGCAGAGATTTTCAGTTCACGAAGAGCCGGGGACCACATGAAACACTGTTTGATGGTCAAACCAAGTGATGAGAAATCAACTGGATGAAACCCTCTGGATAAAAGGGACTGAAAGCACTTTATCTCTTCTTTCTCTTGGAAGTCATTCATCTGAGAGAATTGGAGATCGTTTTGGACCACAGAAAAAGCAAAGTGTAAATCCCTGTGATTCTGTGCAACCAAGCATTAGCAGGTCTGCTTAGATACTCACCAACATACGAAGGATGCTGTGTTTGTGTGTTTTATATTAAACATATTAAACATATTAATCCCATCTGCTGCATAATATATGTTTCATATTGTGCAAAAGAGAAGTACAGACCTGAGACTCGGGCTTGGGTTAAATTTCAATCACAAAAATGAAGACTTGAAACTTGACTGGAACTTGACTGCTTGGAGACCTGACTTGCCTGAGCTTAGACTTCCTAAGGACTTGACATGATAGCAAAAACATCAAGCTTGGAACAAGGCCAGCCTGACCTACATATCCACACTGCTTGAATATTAAATTATTAGGCCGTTTGTATGCTGAAAGAACTTTTCATAGCTATGTAAACCGCACTATAAACACACCTTTGAAAGGAAAATGTTCTAATACCGCAGGATTTGATGGCCATTATTCAGTTTTAAAAAATTGCATGTTGACTTGATGTTGAATGTCTTAAGACTTGAAGCTGTGCCAAATGACTTAAGACTCGACTTGGACTAGCCTCATATGACTTGGCATCCCATTTGTCTTGAATGACTTGAACATGAGACGACTTAAACAATTTGAAATTACTTCAGACTTGACTTGGACTAACTTCAAATGATCTGATCTTGCTTGGACTCGTCTTGAACAACCTGATGGTATAAATTGACTTGTGACTTGACTTGGGCTTGTTTTGAATTACTTTAGACCTGAACCAGTGTCGATTGACTTGGGACTTGACTTGAACTTGTGTTGACCGATGTGAGACGTGACATGAATTATGAGTTATTTGAATTTAGATATGACCGTGACTCAACTTGAACATAGCTTTAGTGCTAAATCATACTAATTCTTCTTGATATATTTTTAATGGTTTAGAATCCTCATGAACAGCAAATATGGAAGAAAAATCAAACTGCAGACATAAAAGCAAGTGTCAGTGGCTCTGATATTTTTTAAAGTAAACAAATCCAAATATCAAAAAAGAAAAACATTTTTTTTGATTAACTAGAAAGCAAGAGGCAGTAAAACATATGACCCTTGTTTTGACAATGAAACATCCATTTGGATCAATAATTAAAAGGTCTTCTCCACCCTAAAATACTATAAAAGAAAAATAGCTATAAAAGAATAGCTATAAAAGAATAGCTATAAAAGAAAAGCTATCTGTGAATATTCCCTTGTTGCGTTGGTGTTGTGCAGTTGAGGACAGATAGACAATGTTTATGAACTAGCTAACCACTGCCTGCTAGCTAAATAACTATTGCTGCATCTCAATTTGCATTTTTCCATAGTCAGACTTGCCATTTTGAGACTGTAAGTACCTGGATGGTGAACTCAAAACAGGGAAAAAAATTAAGTGTAAAACGATGGACATTTCTCACACCCAACAGTTGCCATCTTAGCAACGTATCGGAAAGGGAGGGACCATCAACATATTTTCAAATTTGAGAAAATGGCGACTGAGGAGTGGGAGGAAACATCATCTGCGCTGATGGTGGCTTTTGGAGCAAAAACTGCGCTGTCGAAATACACGCACTACACCAGTATACTGTGTACAGGTGTACTAGTACACCGTTTACACAGAATACTTGCACACGCAGTGTACTACATGTAGTGTACTGGCTGACCTATCCGATTTGAGACACAGTTTGTTTTCTAAGGGATACCAGAGTTCATTCTGAGAAATGTAAGAAATCACAGACTGACGCAGAAATAGATGAGACAAGTTAATACACAAAGAAAGTGAATTGCAACATTGATTACAAAATACCTTCAGTGATTCACCGCTCTGGAGGATTTCTTTTCAGCTTACCACGTCTCTACATGACTGCTGTTTCTCAGACAAAATTCCTCTGCCTTCTGCCGACACCTTAGACTCAGGAGCTTGTCGACTTCAATCAAAAGAGAACTGAACACTTTGCTCTTCTCTTTACTGACTGCCACAGCACTCACCACTGTCTTGCTCACCGACCTTTGGCTTTGATGCAGTTCAACTGAGAGGAACGTCTCAAGGACAGCCGTGCTTTAGGGCATCTTCTCATTAGTCCTGGTCAGAACGTCAAGCGTTTGAATGATTGATTTCTTAAGTTTTTCTGTGATTCTTGTTTCAGGCTTTAACAGCTGGTTTTTCCTCACGACGTGGGGGTGGGATACAGGGGGCAGATGCCACTGCTCCCCACCTTTTAGACATGTATTGTGCCTCACTGCACTTGTTTCTACAGTTTATACCCTTGGTCTTCTTTCATGCTCTCCTTTCTCTTTGCCTTGGTTGGCTTCAGTGCCTCTCCCAATAACAATCAGTTTGTTTTGTATTTAAATATGTAACTTAATGAAGAGGACCCTAAAGAAGCAACGATGATTTAGTAAAAATTAAGTTTAGGCTTCTGAAGATTTAGAATTATTTTGTATCGTTGACGATAACTTTTGCTAATTTAATTTACTGTTACAGAATTAATAAATATCATATATTTTGAGAAATATCTGTGTTTTCAACTCCAAAAGCCAACAACTAAAACTCTAACCTTTGATTCTAGTTGTATAAAATGTATTTTACAGTAAGTTAAAGAGATCAGGGCACAGCCGTAAAATACAACAGTGGAAATGATCAGCCACTAAAGTAAAAAAAAAAAAATCACATTTTTCAACACCAAATGAAATGTGGGGAAAAAGACAAGAAGATATAAGGAGGTCATAGTTGATAGTGAGCCAAAACAAGCCAGGTTTTCTTCAAACAGAACAGGGGAGAGAACGGAGAAGACAAATGCTGCTGAGAGAACAGTGGCAGAGCTGTCAGAGGAGGAACAGCAGGATCGCTGCCCTCTGTCAGAGTCTACAGGGTCTAAATAACGAAAAAGCAAAGATGTCCACCCAAGTTTCAACTGCTCAGGGCCTTTGAAACTGAATGAGTGAGAGGGGTGATGGAAGAGAAGATAGAGGGATTGCAGATGGGAAAACTGTGGAGTAAAGAGAGCAAACTGCAGAGCAGGAAGCTGTCAAATTCTTTCTCTGAGTGTCAGGTCCTCACAGACCACAGAGGTTCATAATTAAAGCAGAGATCCAACTGAAAAGTCTAATGAAGAGGTAATGTATGATGATGTAAAACCCTGTAGCATTAATTCTACTTAATGATTAGATTTTTATGAATAGTTATGAATAGTGCAGAAGTGTTCATGGTGGTTGCAGTTAAAAATGTGAGGAGGTAGGAGGTGGAGATGGGAACTGACTGGCAACTTCAATGTGTATAAGGTTTTATATCAAAAACAGGATATGACCTAGAAAATTTTGACAATCCAACTTGAAAAAATTTGTTTCCATGGGATTGTAAAACATCTTGCACAATGGAAAAAGAAAGACTTGGGTTCACCCGACCTTGAAGTTGCAACTGTTAGCATGTCTGGCTAACTTGCTTTGTAGCAACTGAGTATTACTTTCAAGATCAAGACTACACTAGTTTGTGGGATTATATGATGGTTATGTTGATGATTTTTTTTAAAAGCCCAATGGCTAGCATACCACTGGATAAAAAAAGTTAACGATAGCAGCTCTGTCCTGCTCTTTGGTTGGGGGAATTGCAGGAAGTTTACACTCCAGCAACCCCAGGCGACGCTGCCTGGGATAGCGTTGTTTGCCAAAGACATCAGTTAGTTGGTTTTCATCCAACTCGTCGAGCTAACATTAGCTTGATTAGTTAGCTAGCTACAGCTATAGTCTGCATTTCAGTTGATACAGTACGGCTCACTATGTAGCTCAAAACAAGACAATTGTGTTTTAAAGCACATGACAAAAGATTCAGATTTCAGTTTAATGTGTGTTTGGCCAATCATTATTCAAAATACACGTACTCTTCCAGTGTTTTATGTAGTGCTGATGTAAACAAATCACTGTGAGTGTAATACCAGATTACAAGTTTTGGGTGTGTCTTTTAGCAGAGGGGCCTTTAATATACTCAATATAAAAAATGTCTAACTGCTGCTGTAATGTTAAACATTTAAAGTGCTAAGAGGTTACCTAATCCCTGATCACATCAGGGATAACTTGATCGAGTATTCTAGTTTCCAGTTAGCATCAGTCACCGAGCATCTTGTGTGATTTCTGCACACTGATGGAGTGAGCACGTGATGACCTGCATTCTTTCCTCACAATCTGTCCATACTGTATCTACAGTATTTTAGTCCTATACTCTGTACATCGCTCTGACGTGGGCTCAGTCTGCGGTCTCCACCAGCTGATCCTCTGACCCCTACTGCTGATCAATACTGCCCCATCTGACCACTTCTATTCCTGGCCACCATCCCTGCAGAGTCAGCCCCCTTCCCCCCTGCCCTTCTTTTCCGTTCGCCTAGCTGGGACCAGCCTGGCACAACGGTGCCCTCTGCCAACTCTGACTCATTCAAAGAGAGACGCTCAGTGACCACACATTATACACAAGGCCTGGGTATGTTTTTGTGTTACAGTGTTTGCTGTTCCCACATATGGGAAGAGCTCACTGTATAATTCAACATAAAGCAAAATTCACACACCTCACAGAAATTAACAGAAGACATGATCAGGGACATTTATGATTTATTTACAAAGCTCCCAGTGTAAAGAGCTGAGTGACCCAAAATGTAATGAGAACAGCATATAAAAAGAGCCAGTCTGACCCATATCCAGTTTAAATATGGGGCGAGTGCATAAAAAAGATACAGTCAGTCTGATGGTGTCTTCTTGGCCCAGACTAAAACAGCTGTGCTTTTAAAAGCACATGAAAGTTACTGCACTTTTTCTCTCTCACTCACACTCACACACACACACACACACACACACACACACACACACAGGAGTCTCCTGTAGTTGCTGGTGTTTGAGGGTCTTCAGATCCTTTCTGGCATCATTTGCAACCTGAAACAAGAGAGGAGGAGACAAAGAACAAACCTCTTATTGCAATAAAAATAGCACAACACCTATATTGCTGCGTCACCTCTTTTCAAAGATGAAAAACAAATACATTGCAAAGCTTTATAGCATTTAAGTCAGAGTCCTTTAGCATTGAGCAGCTGCTCTCAGCTCAAATTGCTAAAATCCCCGGAGATACATGAAGTCCAGCCTGAGTTGGGTATTTATCAGGCATCTCACAGTCACTCCTAGTAATTGCGTTGAAAGTTGACCTAGGACTAACAACACTCTTACCTCAGAGGGTTATTTATGAAGCGTCCTACACTTTCTGTCGGCAAAGAGAAGGACCACTCCTCTGAGAGAGTGTGACATCTCTCTATTACAAAACTCACAGCGGCAAAGTAGAAATTATGTTTTATGATAATAAGCAAATAAGATAATGAGCACAACTTTATTATGTGTAGGTTTTACATGTATAGGCAAATAACTTGGTTATAGATATCAAAATATGAAGCCAGTACAATCACATGGGGGCTATTTTTAAGTTTTCTCTGCCGCAGAGTGTGGTTTCTTGCTGGAAGCGGGTGGTGGTGATTGTCACTTGACAAGAGCTTCGACCATTATTGCGTTTACAAGACAAGGGGGTTTTAATACATCTGCTGAGCAGCGCTACGTCTTCAGGGCAGATCGGAGGTTACAGTGAGTCACTATTGGAAAGTAACGAGACGGGTTGGAGCTAGCTGTTTAGTATGCTAACTGCAGTAGAAGAAAAGACATCATAGAGACAAGAGTTAACATTGGTGTTCCTTTCCACCACTGGAGACAGCTCTTGGTGAGTGAGACACGCATTACACAGACACATGTTGAAAATCTTCTGTGTGCTGTGGTGCACAACTCCATGAAGAACATCTTCTCCTCCAATCCCCCTATCAGCTACACCCCTTCTTAACTGTCTGCCCGACATGTACATTAGGACAAGCTTTTTATTTTTGTCTGTAGTCACATAGTCCTGGGGAATACACCATAACAATATAAAAATATATTTTATAGTGCATATTAGCCTGAGCTATTATTTGAAAGAGCCTAAATAAAAAATAATAAGATATAATACCTTATAAAAACATTTTACCTGCTGTAATTGAGTTGAGACATGAGTCATTATGCAGCTGACATCCAGCCAGGGGGACATGATAGTGTTCAAATAAGTTTTAGTCTCCTGTCCTTCACCCTGCACATTATCTTTATGACGTGTATAGGCACAAAGTTTGATTTATTGCTGCCAAAACTGTGGCTCTGACTCATCACTGTTGCAAACCTGCATTTTCCCTGTTGTGTAACGTCGTGAGGACATGCAGGGACAGCATTTGTTATCCTGACACAAGGTCAGTCTCAAATATTATTCCGTTCATGTAAAAATGATCGTTCAATAAGCTTATTGTCATCAAGCTATCTCAGAACATCTGTCCTCTCATTGACTCTCTCTTCAAGCTCCTGGCATCTCTTTACAGGTTAGCACATTTGTAATAATCACTTCTCAACTTCTGGCACATTCCTACATATCAGCAGAGGTAAGAGTAATTTTCGAAAGGTAAAGTTAAATGATTAATATTTTTAACATGGTTTTCCCACTAAAAAGTGAAAAAAATCTAATATAAAAAATCTGGATCAGGCCTTGTGCCCCGCCCACCACCACTACTTGCGCTAAGTTGACCAGTGAAAGAGCAGAGGGTATCATGATGCTACACTCAGCTACAGTGCTGAGTCAGACCCAGACTCAGATGAGGAGTCTCTTCTACACCAAAATCGGTCACTAGTAGACGTATCAGAATGGTTAGCGGAGTTAGCATCTTCTATTTCTGTTTATGTTGGTTGTTAGCTTGTAACTAGCAATGTCTGACACAACTCTCGCTCTCTGTACTGACAAAATTTTGGTTTATTCAGCCCTGCCGCTGTCCCCGAAAGTTGATTGGTTCCTTAGGTTTGTGACGTATGAAATCCTGTCCTGTCTGAATCTGTTTTTATGAGACTGTCATTGGTTCACTGCAGTTCAAGGTGGAAACACTCAGTCATGGTGATGTGTTTATTTTTGTCATGATATGTCTTGTATTGTAACATATGGATGTTAACAAGGTTAAACATCGGAGGGGGTCTTTAAGAGAGTTGATAAAATCCTTTTACTCCTAGCCCTAAAAGTAGGACCAGAAATGTATCACTGGGATAATTTTGGCCAGTAGTCTGCAGTGATTTCTGACTGAGACTCTGATCCATCCAGACGAATCTGAAGAGGTAGTTTAACTTACAAGTGAGTTTACACCCAGGGGCTTCATCACACTGCACTGAATACATTATACTATCATGCCACAGCGTTTTCTGTGCTGTAACAGCAAAAACTGGAGCCTAACAGAGAGGCCCATTAGCGGCCTCCGTCATTATTTTCCCCCCACACCGTGGAGGCCTCAGCCTGCCTCCCCAGTCCAGTTAGTTTTTGCCCTACAGCAACACAACATGAAGCAATTCGCTCTGAATATCCACCCAGGACATTTTCAGTGCATTACAGAGGCAATCAGCATCAGCAAATAAACTGGGGGAGAGTGTCACTGAGCGACAGAGCAGTGGAAAGAAAGTAGAGTCAGAGACCGGGCGAGAACGACGGATGGAGAAAAAGAAAAAAAGAGAGAGCCAGATGGAGAATAAGAAGGAGAGCTGTTATCATGTTACAGGCAGCCACAGAGCCGGTCAAGGTGCTGAATGGGCAATAAAAGGACAGCATAATGGAGTTGTAATGGCAGGAGAGTGGACATTCCATAAGGCTGACCCAGGGTCAGTGTTAGAGGGAAGAAGATGAGGCCCCCACTGTGTCAACAGCAGGGGGGCTCTCAGAGGACCTGATGTTAATATACTGCAGCACAGATTAGTTACTAGATGTAGACACATTATGTCACGGCCAGTGATTACGAGGAGGTATGATTAGTTCTATTGGTGGGGTTTAATGTGTGTGTGTGAGTGTGCATGTGTTTGATGACTCGAGGAACCATATTGTTTTCTACAAAATCGTCTTTGCAGGTGGATGTCTATTTAACACACACAGCACCCCCGAGTGCACAATGTGAAGCAGGAGGGCTTGTTTCTCCTCTTTTGTTTCAAGTAGTCACTTTGCAGAGAAAAATATTATGCTCTAAACATATAATCAGTACTGTTTCATCTCACCTTGTATCACCATGCAGCACAGTTGGTAGATCTGGGTACTATCAGTGCCAGGATTAAATTATAATTCCAGTTTACAGCAACCTGGGTCTTATTTTTTTGCTTTGGCGATCATTTGTATCAGTAGTAATAAAATTGTACTCATCAGGATACCTGCTGAGAGCTGTGGAAACTGGAAACTGGAAATCAGATGGGGCAAAGAAAATCAGGCAGATTTTAAATAGAACACACATTTGAGAAGCATTTGAGCAAATGGCAAAGATTGGATTCCTCAAAGTGAAGGCACTAAAAACAATTTTCTCAATGAAATTGTTTTGAGCAGCACATGAAAACAACATTTTCTGCCAAAGTTGGAACAGTCTGGGGTGTTTGATGTGAGAGATTTGGTGTGTTTTTTAGTTACTTTTTGTTTTGTCTCTGCACTTCTCACTGATTTAATCTGGACATAAATGAAATGGAAAACAGGTTGAGCTACATATTTCTGTGCACTAGTGCTGGGTTTCTGGACTTAGTACCACTTGAGTCAAAGTAGGTTGACAGTTGTGCTGTGGTTTGTTTACTTTTCCAGGTCACTGTCAATCAAATGTAATTGGACCACACCCACACAGTCCTGATAAAGCAGATTAGCTGAGTTTATGTGACTAAACTCTTGAAAATATTTATGGATTTTTTAATCCAAATCAATTTTAACACTGATTTATGCTTATTTAGTAATTCATAGTTAATATAAAAAAACAGTGTAACATTTGAAGTTTTCAGAGGCCTTAGTATACAGTTTAACTTCCTTCAAAGCTTATTAACAGTGATGTAGCAATGAGGTGAATTACTGTTTTGCAGTTCCCCAAGCGCTTCCTGCAGGAGGTGAGAGAGCAAAGAGGAAAACAAAGTAAAAGAGACCATTTCCTGCCCTCTTCTACAAAGTATCGACTTGACAATGAATGTAGATACAAAAAAGGATGTTTTTAGACATCTGTGTTTCATAAAGGAGCAGCATTTCTTGATTTGCTTTTCAACTTGAACACTGAAAATCCAGCAGAAGTGCCAAATACTGCAGTTCCTCGGATGACCACTGGAGTCTGGCTCCAAAAGTGAGTCAATGCCCATAGGCTCCCATGTTAAAACGGCCAACTTTACAGTAGAAACAAACATGTTTACAACCTGGTAAAAAACTGTTTTGGTCTCTATAGCTAATTTCCTCCTTCATGACAACTGAACGTTTATTTAACTCACCAGTTTGAATTTTATCAAGGCTTAAAATATATGCATAACTGAGGGTGTGCCGCTATAAGTGACACAAACTGGTAATCACCAAAGTCTCGGCTCCATACAAGCCCCACCTCTTTGCCCATTTTAGGATTAGCTGGGAGTTAGGCGGAGTCTGGTACTGCCAAGATGGCGACAGTAGAGCAGCTCACTCTGAGCTTCAAAACACCTCTTCAGAAACCTATAGATGATGTCACAGAGGCTATGTCTATCTTTATATACAGTCTATGAGGTAAAGTGACTCAGGCATGCTACATTTCAAATCATTGCCTTTAAATGTTCAGCGTCAAATTGACACTGAAAAGTGGAAAAAAATAAAAGGGACTAATTCCCATTTCTTCTTCTATTTTCCCACCATCCCATCTAGTCTCTTAAAATACACACTACTTCCAGTAAAAGCATCCTCACTGTCGAGTGTGGCCTCATTCTTCTTTACACACATGCTTGAGGCGACACAGTCTGACACTGTGTGTGTTTCTGCTAAAAGGTTACTGTTGATAAAAGGCACGTGTTGTTTTGTGGAAGTAACACCTTTTTAA